CTTTTTGTTTCCTTTTCCGTTTCTATAGCTTTCTGCTTTTATTCTAACATATATGCATTTTTCCTTCAGTCATTGCTCTAGCTTCCCGTGAGACGGCAAACGATTGCAATTTGAACTCACTTTACACACGTTAATAAGATCACGTGATTTGGGGGGAGGGTATAGCTCAGTGATAGAGCGCATGTTTAGCATGCACGAGGTTTAATCCCGGGTTTAATCCCCAGTACCTCCATTAAACAAACAAACAAACCCAATTACTTCTCCCACCCCCCTGAAAATAAAACCACAAGGATAAAATACTGGGCTTAAAAAAAAAAGCCTTAAAAAAAGATAACATGATTTAAGAATGGACACCTCAATGATTCTTATGCAAACTGGAGGTGGGACAGAGGGAGGGAGGTGTGCAAATCAAAACTGCGCAGGGAATTTTAGCAGGTGCTTGTCAGCTTGCCTGTGTGCCTGCCCTTCACTGTTGCCTGGATCAGGGACTCTGTACAGACTGAGGAATGGGGAACACAGGGTGTGAATATTTTAAACAATCAATTGTCCAAAATCAGTAATTGATACTACCGATGGCCACCCTTATGCTCAGTAAGAGTAATAATCACTAACATTTATTGAGCATCTCTTACGAGCCAGGCCTTGTACTTTCCATGAAATTAGCACTTTAAGGTATCACTTAACCCTTAAGAGTTGATTGTATTACCAGCCCTTATTTTCAGGGAGGCAACTAAGGCAAAGAGAAGGTAGGTGAGTGGGGAGTGGTGTCCACCCCAGGCTGCTGTCCCAGAGTCTGGTGCTAATGTGTGCGTACTTCCACTGTGGCCTCTCTTGTAGGCAACCTGTCACTTTCTTTCCTGTGTGGTTTCATCTACATGGTAACCCCTCCCACTCGGCCCTGACCCTGGCTGCCCCCAGCCAGGGGTTCTTCGGTCTAGTCCTTGTCAGTAAGATGCTTTTGCCTGAGTCTGTGTTTGGAGGACCCTCAGCCTGGGTCCAGACAAGAAGTTATTTGAATGAAAGTTGGGGGCATCTAGTCCCGAAGGGCAGCTCTTTCACGTGACAAAAACGGCCAGGCAGTACAGGTGTCATCGCTCCCATCTAATAAGCAGAAGATCTAGGACTGGGGCTCATCAAGCAACTTTTGTTGCTTTCCTGCAACCTAAGAGGATATTGAAGCTTCTCTCGAAGTTTTAAGTAGCCTGTCTAAAGTTTTTTTTTAATCAGGAGTCTAAATAGTTGTACAGGATGTAATTTGTTTATTATATATGTGCTTTAAATTTGCCTTTTTTTGCGGGGGGGAAGGGGTAACTAGATTTACTTATTTCTTTTTTTTTTTTTTGATGGATATACTTGGGATTGAACCCAGGACCTTGTGCATGCTAAGCATGTGCTCTACCACTTAAGCTATATCCTTCCCCTGCTTTAAATTTACTTTTGTCAGAAACTTGGGGCTTTGGATTTAATTGATCGAATGATGGAAAATTCCCATCTATGCCCAAGTGGCAAAGCCAATCAGTCCTCAGTCAAATGAAACTTAATTTTTGTCACAAAAAAATCTGATTTCATGTTTCAATTCAAATAAGCTAGTATGTGTCCCCAAGATACTAAGATACCTGTCTCACTCCTGGGGCTGATTCCCAGGTAGGCAGGCAGGCAGGTAGATCAGCCCCACTCTGAGCTTGTCCCTGGATGGATAAGCACCACCTTCTCCTTCCTCACTGTTTCTTAAGGAATTCCCCTGGAGTGACGCTTTCCCATATTATTCCTTTGCCTGGCACCCTGCAGGTTTACAGCTCAAAGCAGTGCCCCACGCTGATTCAGCCTGGGTGAGAATGTTCCTCTTTTTTTCCTAAAAGTGGGAGGCAATTGTGGATAGGGTGGGTGGGGAAGGAGAACCAGGAGGCCCTTGGAGCAGCCACGGGCAGATCCATGTTAAGAAAGAGCAGCCATGGAACTTGAGGGTCTGAAAATTCATTTCCTCTTATTTCCAGGATGGCTTTGTGTACCCCCAGGAGTACATGACCCCCAGTTGAACACCTCCAAACTCCAAGTTCTTTGCCAGTCTTTTCTAGGTTTAAATTTTTGAGGTTATTGTGATCTTTCACATAATTTTTATGGAGCGCATCCAGCGTAGCTCTTATGTCCTCTAGGTACAGTATCTACATGCAAGTTAGGAGCCACACATTTGACTGGAAGAAAAATACCTTGGCAACCGCATCTTCCACAGCAGGGTGGTGGTAGCCCGTGATGATTTTCCTGGTGATGGTCTTACAGCCTCTGACAGGGCTTTCCTGGGGGGTCCCAGGTCCCTCCCACTTGGTCTCCAGGCAATTTATTACCCCTTATATTCCTGGGGAATGGGAGCAATGGAAACATGGAGATTGCCAAAATGAATAAACACATAAATTGAGGAAAGCAGCCACATGCTTGTGAATGAGGATTGGCTTCGATTTAACTGAGAAAAGTTTGCAATTTTAAAACCATTTGACAGGAATTTGAATACAGTATCAATATTATTTGTACCTCCTAATTTTCTGACGTTCACTCACTGTGGTTTCCACAGGTCTGTCCGGCCACAGACTTGACTGCGCAGTGGTTGACTGCAATTGAATGGGTTATGATACAGACCAACCAGTTAGTCATTAAAAAGAATTTTTTAAAAACACAAACAAAAAGCACTGCGTGAATCGAGCGAATTGTGTGATCCAGCTAGTTCGGCTGAAATTGAGAAGCAAAGTTGGATAGAACACGAGGTCATCAGATTAATTGCTCAACCATCAGAAAAACCAAAGGAGGAGAAATCACGCTATGCGTTTTATTTCCATAACGTCACTGAATCATAATTTTAGTAAAATAATCCTGTTAAAGCATTCTCTGGGATGTCCACTTTTGGTCGGAAAGGGGATTGTTTTAGATGGTCGCTCCGTGTCCAAGCAGCTGGGAGGCGCAGGGCTGAAGCCGGGGCTCAGGTCCCAGGGCAGCCTCCCTCCCTCCAGCCCAGCGCCCACTGCCTGCTTCTCCCCCTCTTCTTTGCTCCTGAGCCGCTTCTCCCTCCTCTGTGTCTTCCTCTCTTTTGTATGTTCTCCCTCTTTGCTTTTCTGTATTCTCTGTGGCCTGCAGTTTGGGGGCCCTCTCTTTTAATTTTTTTATTGAGGTGTAATTGACATAACATTATATTGCTTTCAGGTGTATGGCATAAGGGTTCAATACTTGTATCATCAGGGACCCCCGTGAAAAATCAAGCCAGCACTGACTTGGAGACACAGTTAACCTGTTAGACAAATAGAGTGTTGGATTTTTTAAGGCAAGAGAAAATGAATTCCCAGAAGCCAAATCCCATGGAGGTGGTGTGTTAACAGGGGATGGTGATGGGGTAACACTGTGAAGCCTGAGTCCCCATCTGCCTGCTAGGGTGCCTGGTGCGAGCACTGGCTGACACATAATACCAAATAAATAAGAGCAGCAGCCAACACACCAGACTTAGCAACACAACGTAGGTTTGGGGTAATATAAGTATGTTATTTCCTGTTACAATAATGTGGTTGATTAAGGAAAACTGAAATATCACTTCTGTATCCCACTTTTTAACGTAGATGACCTTTTTTTTTATGCTTTCTTCTACACATAGTTTTTAACCTTTAAGAATATTTTTTATAATTGTGATCACACTTGGTGTATAACATTGTATCCTGATGTTACATGCAGTATGTGTGTATACATACACAAATATTGTAAGTATTTGCGATGTTACAACCTGGCAACCTTTTTAATGATTGCATCCCAGTCTATTGATGGTATGATATGTCATACTTTCTTACTTTCTGGTTGGGTGGTTTCCAGGTTTTTTTGCCATGATCTCAAGGTTTCAGTGAGTAACTTCCTGCATGCCAATTTTGGAATATAAATAACCATAAGTTCATGTTAACTTCCCCAACATAGACTTGCTTGGTCAAAGGATATCCACATTTTGAGGTCAAATTGCTTCCCAGAATGGTTAGTACTGATTTCTGTTGGTCGGAGTTTGGACCAGATTCACTGTGTGCGGGAATCTGTGTGTGTTTGTATCATGGTGGCCCTGGGGCCCCACACACCCCAATACAGTGTCCTTATCAGTTAAGAAGCAGCAGTCGTACCTGCCTTGTCGCTGAGTAGGCTGTGAGGAAAAGCTCTCTGGATCTCATTATTTTTAGTTTATCAGGAATGTCTGCCTCACACAAGGCTTTCAAATAATAATTTGCTGTCTGGGAATGCACTTGAATGGTGCTATCTAAATACAAGTAGGTAGCTGAAAAACTGCTGTTCTGAAAAACAGAAAGAAAACTGTAGAATTTTGCAAATCCTGAAACTTGTCAGAGATGACTGGAAAGTGGTAAAAGCTCATTTAAACCTAGTGGCTATAATTTTGGTTCTGAAGAAATTTACTGGATGAAAACTTTGGACACATGCACCTCTAAGAAGTGGGCCAGTCTAGAAGGTCTGGGGAAAGTTTCTCCTTAATTGCTGAGCATGTGATGAGATAACGTTTAATGGATGAACTGACTTAGAAACACCTAAAGCATTTTTAATGAGATGTTTCTTTGGCCAATCATCTGTTATTTTCTACAGACCTTTGAGGGAATTAAAGCTAATTGTGTCCCTATGAGAGACAAGAAAATCTTCATGATTTGATTGAAAATAATTTGTATTCTTAATTTATGTTAGCAACTTGTTCTGATGTACACGTAAAAAGAAAGGAAATATGAGGGTTTTCTTTAAACCCTTTGTCAGCATCCCGCTGTCTGACAGTTTTGGACTCTGGGAAGCTCTCTAATGGGAAATAATCAAAACAAAGAAGTTAGTAAGTTTCTTCAAGCTGGGGTCATCGCGAACATTTGCTAGCATTTCCAGACCTGTTCTTCTTGCAGATGAAGACAGTTTGCAGAGTGTTATTCATTTATTGACTTGTAATCATTTCTCTGCTCCTTCCTGCCCCCAACTTAAACCTCTGCCCTCTTTAGATACAGCAACTTTGGCAACAACTCTCATCACTCCTCAAGGCCCTCGTCTGGATCCAGTGTGCCCACCACCCCCACGTCATCTCTGTCACCGCAGCATGAGGCCAGGCTGGAAAGGTGGGTTTTATAAGATGCGTGGTGATGGCTTCCCTGTCCTTAAGTGAAGGGAATCACTTTGCTTAAGAGTGCCTACAAGAAAAGTATAAATAAAAGGTACCAATTTGTTCTGGAGTATTTAAGTGGGAATGTTTTGATTCACCCCTTAAAAACTGTTCTAGATTTTGTGTAAACCCTGCAATTTGTCTTATACACATTAGTTTTCAGCTGTGAATGTTTCATTCTATGTAAATCAGGAGGTGGTGGGCCCATTAAGGTGTCATGTAATTAATCAAGGATCTACCGGAAGAGAAATGAATTGTAATGGGTCCGTGGAAGGAATTTAACTTGGCAAGAGTATTAATTAGACCACCAGAAATCAACTGATTATTACTCCCAGGCACGAGTGATTGCACAAGGATGTGTTTACAAGGGGAAAAAGTAAGACCTGTAATTTTAGAACAATTAGAAACAGTTACCCTTATATGGCCAGAGTGCTGAGTTAGAGGAGACTGGCTCGGGTTCCAATTCACTCACTGGGAAGTTATTTAATCCCTGAGGGTAAAGGCTGATTATGCCAACCTTTACCTTAGAGGGTGGTTTTGACGAGCAGATGGAAAAGTACACAGGAGAGCGTGGTGTAAGCCCCACCATGTGGGTCCACTGGGAAGTGACAGTGTGTGATGATGAGATGTAACTTCCAGCAGCTAGTGATTGACTATAAATTGATCTCTTCAAATATATTTCCAGTCCCCTTTATTCTTTCTTCTCCTTCCGGGACCCCTATTATGTGTAGATCGACACAATCTGTATTACCCCCGAGGTCCCTTATATTGTTTTCATTGGCTTTTCTGTCTGTTGTTCTGATTGAGTGATTTCCATTATCCTGTCTTCTAAATCACTTATTCATTCTTCTGCATTATTTAGTCTGCTATGGACTGCCTTTAGCTTGGCTTTTATCTCAGCAATTGAGTCTCCTGATTTTAACTGGCTCCTCTTTGTAATTTCTATTTCCTTTTTACAGTATTCTGCACGTTGAGCAAAAGTTGAGACATGAACGACTCGCAGATGTCATTTGCCTCAAATCCTGAATTTGAAACAAATTAGATCTGTATTCCACATTCTAATCATCTCCTATGTATTCTGAAGCATGTTTTGCTGAGTGCTGCCAGTGATTGGAGGTTTGGCTGGGACTCAGAGACCCAGGTAGAAGGGCTGTCCAGGGAGTTTGCCTGGCCACACATCACCTTTAATTTCTAAGACGGGACATAAACCCCATGGTGTCAGACTCCCAGATTCCACAGTCCCGTGTGGTTCTGGGCTGGGTGTATTTGGGCTCAGTTCAGTCTTGGTAAGAAAGTAACAAGTTGATAACCCTGAAGACACTCTCTGTTCTTTGCCCTGGAGCACTGCTTCTTGGGATCAGCTGAGATTGTGCTCCCAGAGAGGTCACCTTTAAAAGAGGACCCTTGTTGGATGGAATGTGAGATTTGGGACTGAAGAGAGGAATATTATCGTCTGACTGGTACTGCATCACACACCTCGAACCTACTAGGCTGCCCGCTCCTCGGGAGCAGGGAGCCAGGCTCCATTCATTGCTGTGTCCCCCATGGTACCTGGGGCCAGAGTGTCGCACAGTTGAGGTTGAAGGATTTGAGTGAATTATCCACTTACTGGTTGGCGAACAGTTTGTCAGTCCCTGAATTTAAGAAGTTACAAGGACAGGATGTCTGCAGGTTTCCCAGGCCCTGGCCTTTGGGGGAAGTTGTTCCTGGGCCCTAACAGGGAAGCCCCAGCCTCAGACGACTTCCTGAGCCCTGGAAACCCAGGTGCAGTTTGAGCTGGAAGTTCCAAGAGGGCAGGTCCCCCTAAAGGACTCCTGTCCGTGTCTCCTTTCCGCTGAGTCTGGCTGAGTATTTCCTGGCAGTGGTTGAGGGATTAAACGATGGAACGGGGGGCTGGACCCCAGAGAGCCTTGAGTGCCCTGGAGGGAGACTAGTTTTCATCCTGAGACCCTGGGGATGTAAGGTTTTGAAGCAGCTGGTGATGCACTCTGATTGGTCAACAGTGCAGAAGGAGCCAGTAGGACGAGGCTACAGGGACAAGGGCCACCAGAAGCATTGAGTCCCAGAAAGGGAACCATAACTAAGAAGGGCAGGGGCCTTGGGGCTTGAGAGGAGCAGTGGGTTTGGGGAGATTAGCTGCCGCCTGGAGGGTGGCAGCAGGGGAATCAAAGTGAGGCTTCAGGCTTACAGGAGCCTAGGGATGTTAGAAACAAGGAAGTGGGAGAGAAGATACTGGAAGAAAAGCAAATTGAGGACAGAGATGTCCATCTTGGGACATGCAAGGCATGAGGAGTCTGTCTGATACCCAGAAGATGCTCGGGGAGCTGGGGAGGTGAGGACTCAGTGGTCCTCGGCTGGAAGAAGGCACTGAGTCGAAATTCCTCGGAGGGAACCTGCACGCTGAGACCCCGTCACTGGGGACCAGCATGGTTAGGAGCCTCTCCTGTCCTAAGCTGCCTGTTCTCTCGTCTCTGCATTTGTGCCAGGGGAAATACATTACCTTGGCCATCCACTGTATCCACTAGCAAGGACAGCTTCAAAGAGTTTCTTATTTCCTTTACATTTGCATGTTCTTTTCCCTCAACTCTCACCATCTGCAGCTTTGAAGAACCATGTAAAGCATCACTTGCAACATCAGATGTGCATTTTCATTAAGACCAGGGAGCTGCTCGGTCTGGCTGCACCGCTGCATCTTACTCTCACCTTGGTAGCTTACATTTTGTGACTGTGAAAAAAGAAAAATAAGAGGGGCCCTCCACTCCAAGTCATGTTTGGACACCACTCCCCAAACATGTCAGTTGTATTTATGATAATGTATACTTTTTATACAGTGTAAGTTTTTCTTTTTCCTAGTCAGCAATTCTTTGGATGTCTCCCATAATCTATTTTTACCTTTACAAATATTTTCTGCCTTACTAAGAGACATGATTGCTGTTACCGAGGTATATAGTTCAGTATGACTTGTAAGATTTATGGTTGAGATGTTCTGTACGCCCGTAATTATTGAAGCCCAAAAGAGCAGCTCTTAGGAGAAACATGGAACTATTAGGAACAATTGCATTTCTGCAGTGAGAACATACATCTTGTGTCTGAACACCCCTGACTGATAAACTGCCCCACGGGGCCCCGTGCAGTACTGGGGGAGCGCACTAGAAGTCCATTGCCTCGATTTGGAAACAGGACTCACTTCTCTGAAGTCCTAGGAAAATCAGGCCAACTGAAACACCCCTTCAGGCAGGCCAGCCCACTGTGGAACTGCACCTGGGCATCATTGTGAGCTTGGGGTTTTCCATGTTTCTCTCAAGCATGCGAGCGTGTTGGATGTTAATAAAAACTTGGAATCATAAATTGACCTAGGAAGGAAGAACTGAAGAAGTAATATACAAATTAAGTCAAGACAGGGGTATTAAAACGGATCCATCTCCACATCTCCTATTACAGCTTCGTTTATAGGCTCCTTTAGAAACTGAGAGTGTAGCATTAATTTTCACGAAATTGCAACTTGAGTTGTGCCAAAACAGAACAAAATAAGAAAACCAGGACTATTGGCAAAGGCCCTCGGGGATACAAGATGCAACTGTTTAATGAAAGCAGACTTTAAAAATACTTCAATTTTTAAAAATGTGCTTTTGGAGTTGAAACGTTCTAAATGTTTTCCTTTGGGGTAGGGTGGGTGTAGCTCAGTGGTCGAGTGCATGCTTAGCTTGCACGAGGTCCTGGGTTCAATCCCCAGTACCTCCACTAAAGATAAATAAATAAAAATAAATATTTTCTTTTTCAAAGAAAACAAAGTTACAAGAATAGTTGAACCTTTCGTGTTCAAGTATTCAAATGAAACCAGTGAACAAGCAAGCAGCAATCGCAGCGCAGTAGCTTTGCAGCCTTGGGTGGCTGGGAAGGGCCAGGCTTGTTCTCTGTGCATCCCTGCGTCAACATCCCCATCTGGTGGGCCTCTCCGGAAGTGGCGGCTGGAGGCTGGTTTGGTGTTGTGACTGCAGTTACTGAGGGGATAGGAGGGGACATTAAGTCCAGTGTCTGGGGCTGAAGATGCCGAGGTGATCAGTCTTTGTGCTGGGGCTGGAGCGGGTGCTGGGAGTGAGCCCGCCTATGCTGTGAGAGGCGCATGGGCCGGGGAAGATGCTCAGGGCTCAGTGGGCACACCTTGGAGGACCCGCTGGCCCAGGCTTTGAGAGGCCAGGGAGGACTTCCCTGTGGACCTGTCAGAGTGTGCCGTAAGCACTGATTCTGTCCTTTCCCCCTTACGGCAGTGCCACTGTCTGCTGTGAATGACCATCCCCTGCCTGCTTCACAGACTAAAGTCAAGAATCCTTAAAGAGTTTGGGCATTGTCCACCTCGTATAGTCGTCCCAGCAGAATTTCTCTGGTTTCCTGGGAGACTCTGAGCCCAGATATTAGTAGTGATACCTCCTTTGGGAATAATAAGGGATGAATAAAGGATGCAATTTTTAGTTGTACCGTATGACTGTTTAAATGAGCTTTGCATGTATGCAGAGTAACATTTAAAAGGTGTGAGGGATGTGCAAAGTGAAGCTTCCTTCTGCCCAGTTACGCTCCCCAGAAGCAACCACTCCTAGCAACTTCCTATGTGTACTTCCAGAGATAGTTTATATCAGCATAGATGTGTTTAATATATCATTTTAATTCTTTTTTTTTAATTAAAAAAATTTTTTTAATTGAAGTATAGTCAGTTTACAACATTGTGTCA